CTGCCTTCTCCGCATCTCCTCGTATAGAAATTCGCCAGTACCGTACAACCCCTAAGAACAGACGAACCTCGGTAGCGCTATGCAATGACGATGGCCAGTTTAACAACTTATCTAACTTCGCCGGATCTGCTCGTTGCCCTCTCGCAGCGCAGATGTACCCTAGAATCTTAATCGACGAAACTGCCCACCGGCTCATCGTCCCGCTGACCGTCAAGTTAGCATCATCTAACTGCTCTAAAACCGCGTAGATGTCCGTCAAGTGCTGCTCAACAAACCTCCTGACACCGGGCGCCACCTCTGACTCATCCTTCTCCACTGGGGATCAAGCTTATTATCTCAGCTGTTTGCCACGAAGATTGCCCTCGGTACGACTGGTTCGAAATCTTCTAGCTTTGCTGTCTCCCCAATCGGTTTGGCTACTTTGTAGATAACAGCCTCTCCAGCCAAAGGGTGGATGAAGTACAGATAACAGCTAACGACAAGTAAAGCCTGGCCAAGCAACCACAAGAAATAGTGATTCCAGCTCACCAGCAGCGACAGAGACATACTCAGAGTTGGTAACGATCTGCTGATTTGTAGAAGTAATAGACAAGAAGCGGATCTACGGTACAAGGGCTCTCACACACCCAGTGACATGTAAGACAGATTCAGATGTGCTGCAATTGCCTTGTCTCATTGTACTGCTCTACTGATACCGACTCGGAGGATCCAGCTGACTATCTTAGTTGATTGGCATGAAGAGTGCCACAGGCGGCCATGGGGAAGAATTTGAGAGTACAATATAGTGTAGTTTCTTTTTGGGGGGGGAAGTCGGCCCGATTTTCCTCTGGACACGTGGAACTCAATGGCAGCTCGGAAAAGGCGGGCAAATTATTAATCGCCCTAAAAAATGAGATCAGGGCGATGTGTAGCGGTAGGGCAATTGTTTTTATTTTTATTTTTTTTGAAAGGCCCTTGTGGAGCGGTGCTCGACCAACCCATGCTCGAGTGGTGTGGAACAAGGCCCAGAGACGAACTGTGGCGAAGAAGTATTTTGTCTGAGAACACGAGTAGGTACCGACTTGGTGGCCAACCAGGCACGGGGAGCACCAAACCGGCAAGAATGACTGCTCATTGACAAGTCAAGGGTTCAATTCTCGACAAGCGCGCGCGTGCTGAAGAAAAAGGATTGAAAATGAATGCCACGGATCTGTTCTATTACGGATAAGGGTGGCAGGAACTAATCGGGAGAAAAAGAAGACAAGGCGACTGGCAGTAAAGGTCCTGCTAAGTCCCCGCCTCACGTGAGTTCTGTCTGTCTCCTCGTTATGCATGCGTCGTGCTTCACGTGAATTTAATTAATTTTAATAAATATTAAACTAAATAATAATATTAAAAAAAAACAAAGATACACACACACGCACATAAGCATACAACCTAGTGGGTGTAAGTGACTGCTTGGCCGACTCGGAACGAGCGTGCCAAATCAGATACCAAGGGCTGACAGCCCGCGCGCGCGCGCGGCGGCCTCAGCCAGATCGTTGCCAGGGGAGTGGCTCCGCTGTCCTACGGTGAGAGTGTTCCCGATGCCCCCCGCAGTCCCTTCCTCGCCCCTTCTTGTCCCGCTTCGTTCGTTTTTCTCGCCTTCGCTTCTTCCCGCTCTCCCCCCCACCCCCCCCTTCGCCCCGCTCCCCACGTTCCCTCCGCCCCCTGCTTGTCCCGCTTCGATCTATTCTCCTCTCGTCCTCCCTCTGTTCCAGCAATTTTATCAAGTCGATTCACACTTCAAGATGAACAAGGCCCAGACAACATGCAAGAACACGAAACAGGCACACAAGCACACGAAAGCAGGCAAACCAAAAAAAATACAAGTCAAGTAAAAGACCGAAAAAAATAAACTAATGATGACAAGATTGTTTCGTCGGAATTGCACCGACTCATCAGGAGGCTGAACCTGGAATCTCCGTATATGATGGTTTGGGTCATGAACCCTTTGACCCTTGTTGAAGGCAGACTGTCCCCATGTGGAACATAGCAGCGGGCAGCAACCCTGCAGAGCACCAGGCAGCGCAGTAGAGCCAACACGGCTGCACAACACCAAAAATGACTGCAAGGAACGACACGGCACGCCGAACTCGCAGCATGGCACCCAAGCAGTGAAGCACCAGGCCACACCACCAAGACAACCACACTGCAAGGGACGAGAGGGCAAGCGGACAAGCAGCAGAGCAACCACGCTGAGGAGCACAAGGCAACCCCAACACGGCAACCAAACTACAGGGCGCGCAAGCATAGGATGCGGAAGGCACGACCAGCGGACGGGCGGCAAGGCAGCGAAGGGGAAGGCAACACCACAACCCGGCCACACCACACAGCGAAGACAGCAGCATGCCAAGAACAACCTGCGAGGTAAGCGGAACGGGCAGCAAGGCAGTGGTGGAGCGCAGACGGGGTCGTCCACACATCCAACACAGAGCAAAGCAGCACATCACCTACTCACATCACGGGTGAACCCCACAGACTGTTGGTTCCCACCACCCACTGAGCCAGGGAGACACTCCGACGAGCATCTGTCATCACCTACAGGCAACACAGACATCCCGAACCGAGCGGCCCCCCTAAGAGTGCAGTTGGCACTCCAAACGAAKAACCACCGACTGTTTAGCACTACCTAAGGGTGCTCAGTTGGGCACACACAAAAATACTTAGAAAAAATTAGAGGGAGGACAAACAACAGAAAAAGGACCGACAGACAAAAAACTGATTGTGTGTGTGTGTGTGTGTGTGTGTGTGTGTGTGTGTGTGTGTGTGTGTGTGCGTGTGTGCGTGCGTGTTTGTGTGTGTGTAAGAGAAAAATGTCAAGGTTGAGCCGTGAGGCCCATGACATCTACAGTAATAGGGCAAAGAAGTGAATGCATATGAAGTGTAGGGAAGGAGGAGACAACCCCAGTCGCACTGGCTGAATGCTACACAGATGTAGCTGTTGTAGAGGGGCACTCCATACCACAAGGGGGGTTCAGCAAGGGGGATGGACGTGGCTCAGCCCCCGTCCTCGGGCATGCCCAATCCGTCCAGGCTGTCGTGGCGCTGTCAGTCTGTTTTGACTGCAGTACCGGTAGCCCCCTCTCTACGAGCATCTTGGGTTTGGGGCTGGGGGGGGGCGGAAGGTGGGGGGCATGCCATGTGTTGATGTTGGTGTTTCGATCCAGCATTTTTTTGGGATAATTAAATCACAATTTGTGTCTCTCCTCTGTAAATCGTCCCATTTGTTGCTTTCATCATCTCATCCAAACTACTGCAACTCGTACAAAACCGACTCCATTTGTGTGTTGTCTCCTTCTGTTTTCTTTTTTTCCGTTGTTGTTTGTTTTTTGAAAGGGGTTCAGCCCCTAACATTATTGTCATTTCTTGTACCCATCAGGGTTCGAACTCATAACCTGACCCTCTACAACAGCTACATGTGTGTAGCATTCAGCCAGAAGGACTGGGGTTGTCATGTCGCCTCCTTCCTTACGCCGCTTCGTATGCATTCTCACTTCTTTGCCCTATTACTGTATGTCATGGGCCTCACGACTCAATCTTGAGATTTTTTTTTTTTTTTTTTTTTTTCCCCTGAGGTGTGCTTGATCGAGCCCAGCGGGTCTTCAGCTTGTTTAAAAAAAGAGCCCAGCGGGTCGTGTTTTGGCCCCCTTTTTCTGGTGTCAGTTAACAGGCATACCTTGAACGGAAGCTGCTGGGGAATGGTCCCGGTATTGTGTTCTCTAGGTTGAATTGTGGGGTTCCCGACCCCGATAATGTTTGGAATGACAAGTTCTTACTTAAAAAAACTGTTGTTGCCGTCATTAGGCGCGCGGATGTGGAGGTCGTGGGTTCAATCCCCATGATCGCCTGGGGCAATCTTGGTGGTAAACAGCTGAGACAGTCAGCTTGATCGCCCTGGTCGGTATTAGTAGGGGGTCTTTAGCCAACAAGGGTGTGAGTGTGACTGTGAGTGGGTTGTTTGTGGCGTGTGGGAGAGTCTTGGCCTTAGACACTGCTGTTACTCCATGGGGGAGGGGGAAGAAGAAAAGGGAGGCGCAGCTACTGGCCAGCCGGGGCGTCCACTGGGGGGCCCATCCTACTCCCTGACTACCGTTGATAGGGCAGGGGGCAATATGCAATCTTTTCATTGTGAGGCCGCTATGCTTGCAGGTGTACCCTGTATAGAGCCCTAGGAGTAGCGATAGGTAGGTAGTCAAAGGTGAATTTGAGAGAAGTGCAATGATCCGGATCAATTCAGACTCCTAATCGCAATCATGCAAGTCTCCGAAGTCCACACAACACTCAAACAACAAAGCATGAGAATAGACATCAGCACTCTCTCTCTCTCTCTCTCTCTCTCTCTCTCTCTCTCTCTCTCTCTCTCTCTCTCTCTCTCTCTCTCTCTCTTTTGAATGCACTCATGATGTGAGCCACCACCCATCATGAAGACCAGCCAACGACCATTATCCCTGGACAGACCTCAATATGATTATGTCATTGAGGCAAAGCTTCACCCAGGGTAGAAATAGAAATGCACTGACCCCTAAAGGTGCATTCCAATGCTTCACAGCGCAGTGCACTGCCAAGCATATGGCCCAGGTGACCCCAGCATGCATATTTGACAAAGGTTATGTTTCGTTCCCACAACATGGGCCACGAGAACAACAAATGAAGAATACAAAGAGTTACTGATGCACAGGCATCCCGAACACAGCAGCCCCCCTAAAGTTGTTCCAGGCACTCCATGCTAGCAGGCACTGACTATTTGGCACATCATAAAGGTGCTCACTGAGACACACAGGGAAGCAGGCACACTGACTATTTGGCATATCGTAATTGGGCTAGGTCCGTTAGCGTCTACACCGGTTTCTGTTGTTTCTTGTTTTCTTCACGAAAATGTGATCGTATTACGGCTGCTGGTTTACACGGTCTCTGTTATGCAAACTGAAACCTCTTGGCAATGTTTGTGTGTGACCGTGGTTGTGTGGTGATTGTTGCAGTCATCCACGTGGCGGTTGGACGTGGTCACGGCCATTCACGAGTGCATGGGTGAACCAGCGAGCTTGCGGCGGGGTTGGGTGTTCGTAATTATTATGCTATTATCATTTTCATCATTTAATAATAATAATAATAATAATAATTATAATAATAATAATAATAATAATAATAATATACTATAATAATAACAATAATAATAATAATAACAATAAAATATCTGAATAGCAAAAACAAGGACCAACCACAACAAGACGGTCTTCATCTCCAAACGACACGTGTCCAGCTTCAAAGGAGACCAGACAATATCGGCAACGAGCACACTTCCGTCCGACGGCTATGGCGTCAGCAGTCCCAACTGTGGCGACAGTGGCCTCCAAGCTTGGCTGCCAATCCGGATTAGAGCTGGTTTCACCGTCCGAGGGGGTGACGACGCATCGTCATGTGCGACAGCGGGCGAGCATCGTGGGAGGCAGCTGCTGCAAGGGCTGGCTATGGCAGACTTCATCTCCCCTCTCCATGGGAGTCCGGAGAGGGGAGATGACCTGCAGTGGTGGCCATGGCCATGACCATGACCATGGAAGCAGCAACGGCTTCGTCTGCTCGGATTTGACCTGGGCACGGGATCGGATGCACGAGGTTGTCGGCTCGTCATCCCTAGCAGGTGAGAATGTGGTCCGACATGCCAATGGTGCTCAAACCCGCCATCATCGTCGTCACCACGGGAATTGCGAGCAGAGAGGGACGGTTGTGTGTCTGGCTGGGAGAGATGATGGCGGCGAGCCATCTACGAATGCCGCTTCGACAGCGTACAGGAGTTTGGTTTGTCAGTCTTGCGAGGGGAATGGTGCAGTCGTGTGCACTCAGTGCAAGGGAGGAGGAGTGAACCTCCAGGATCACTTTCAAGGGCGATTCAAAATGGGGGCTGTTTGCTGGCTATGTCGTGGGAAGAAGGAGACTCTCTGTGGAAATTGTAACGGAGCCGGCTTTCTGGGCGGCTTCTTGAGTACAGCGGACGAGTAGACCCACCTCTACCTTTACCCGTTGTTTCAATCTTAACAAGCCTCTGCTTCTTTTCCGACTTGACAACAACAGACATGGCCCATCATGAGCACATGGTATGAACCCTAGTTAGGCAGATCGCAGGCTTTCTATCATCAGGGTGTGGAGGTGTAGATGGAGATGAAAACCGAGATCGAAACGGAGATGGCAATGGAGATGGAGATGGAGATGGAGATGGAGACGGGGGGATAGGAGATGGAGATGGAGATGGAGATGGAGATGGAGATGGAGATGGAGATGGAGACGGGGGGATAGGAGATAGGAGATGGAGATGGAGATGGAGATGGAGATGGAGATGGGAGGATAGGAGATAGGAGATAGGAGATGGAGATGGAGATGGAGATGGAGACGGGGGGATAGGAGATGGAGATGGAGATGGAGATGGAGATGGAGATGGAGATGGGGGAATAGGAGATAGGAGATGGAGACGGGAGGATAGCAGATAGGAGATGGAGATGGAGATGGAGATGGGGGGATAGGAGATAGGAGATGGAGACGGTGGTATAGGAGATAGGCGATGGAGATGGAGATGGAGATGGAGATGGAGATGGAGGCGGGGGTGTGGCAGAACAGTCTGTTACCACGACATATTTTGACTGAAGTTATGAGCCTCAGATCGGCTCTTCAAATGCGTCAATCAATGGATAGATCAGAGGAGAACATGGATGTATCAATTGATAGATAGATGAACTGGTAGATGGTTGGTTGGTTGGATGGATGGATGGATGGATGGATGGATGGATGGATGGATGGATGGATGGATGGATGGATGGATGGATTTATGATTGGATGGGTGGACTGATGATTGGATGGATGAGATAGATGGGTAGGCAAACTGAATAAGGACGATCACGATCTAGGATTCTCCGCAGGCCGCGGGGAAAGGGGAGGTAGCGCAACTGATAGTAATTGGGCAGCAGGCTTGAAGAGGTAGAGAGGCTGATGGAAGCAGCTCGCAGGGAACGCAGCGGTTGAGGTTGTCTGTACAGTGCCCGACCGTACACGGTCTCAAGAATGGATATGCTTCCTGTGCTGTGCAGACTGTGGTACGGACTCGACCGTTCACGGGCTCGAGACCGTACATGGACTCGAGACCTCGACAGTGATATGCTTCCTGTACTGTCCAGAGTGTGGTATGGGAATTCACTGGTACTTGGACCTTCGACTTTCACTGGTACTCGGACTTTTGACTTTCACTGGTACGCGGACCCTTGACTTGACTATGACGGTCTTGCCGATGACTTGCTGTTTGTGAAACTAGCCCACAGATAATAGCTCTCCGATCCCAGCGCCACTGGTCCCCCCAGCTATCCATCTCTACAGGATTGGGTCCCATCATCTCCATGTAAGAATGGTCCCTGGGTACTGTTAACGCCAGGTGAGAATGGTCCCGGGGCTCTGCGAACAGATGTACTCTATTGTGACTGCAGACATTCTGATCTTGAGTGGGAAATGCCACGTCAATGACTGTCGTGATGGCCTCAGGTCATGAATCTCCCTTTTTTTGACAACCTGTGTGTGCGGTAGGTCGTACTTGGCGAGAGCGGTGCTTGTGTAACCGCGGGGACTCGTGCAACAGATGCAGTAAGTGCTAGTGCTAGCACTGGTCTGTCATGTCTCGATTATTGTGGTGATGCCAGGTTGGCCAACTGGCGTTGATTTTTCCTACTTGACGGCTGTGATGTGACATGTGCAAATGAAGCTGTGCTGTAAAAAGGCTGCTGGATCACACGTGTGGAAACGTCCTGAAAAAGCTGAGCTTGTTTTTGTTCTCCCCCCCCCCTCCTTCCCCCCAACCTTTTTGTTTGTTACTATATAGATGAAGTGAGACTAGGTTGACTAGGTTCGTACCATGTAGCAGGGGCCAAGAAACCCCAATCCTAACCCTAAGGCTGAGCTGCGCCTCTGTTGAAGTGATGTGTAAACCTAAAAGCCAAGAAAGTTGAAGAACCAAAAAAAGTAGAGAAAAAAAAAGAAACTAATTAGTAATTACCCTAATCCGTATATGAGGGAAGTCCTCTCCGAAATAATATCTGTCTTCTTTGTATAGTTTCAATTTTAAAAACCGTTGTACAAAGAGATTGAGAAGGAAGGACTCCTCCCACCTGAAATTGGTCAACCGGGGGGTGCGGAAACGCATACCTAAGGGGCCCGCTTTTTTTTTCCCAGGGGGGGGGGGGGGCAGTATTTTTGTTGTGCCCCTCAAAAATAAGTTTATCCGCTTTGTGTCCTTTAAATCGCCGGCGCTTTTCCCTAGTGTTTTGAATCTTTTTGTTAGGCTGCTGGCAGAAGGCATCTGGAGTGCGCAAAAGTCAGAGGGCTACCTTCTTAACCCACCAGTACTTCCAAGCGGGGGTGTTTGGAGCCCTCCCTTTTGCCCGGGGCTCCGAACACCCCTGTGCACAAAAAAAAGAGCGGTGCGGGGCTCGTTTTTGCTGGTGCCACCAACCATTTTACTCCAGTTGCCAGCCCCCGAAAGTTGCGACAGCGTGCACGGTGCGCCAGCGGAAAATGGCGGGGAAATGTACTGGTGGTTTAACCTGGAAAAAAAGGTACGTACCTTGTATACGAATAATGCTGTACATGAATACAACATATATACAACGAACTCTGCGTACAACTTGTCAGTGCCACTCCTGGGGCCAAGTCCCACTAGCAAGGTTGAGTTTCCTCAGCACCTGAATCTGGACGCGGTTGTGGAGATGTGCAGTTGAGGAAACTCAACACAATTTCTGCACATTTCCACAAACACGTCCAGATTCAGGTGCTGAGGAAACTCAATGCTGCTAGTGGGACTTGGCCACCGTAAATGTTGACCAGAACCTCAGGCAGAAGTTGTTTGTACTGCAATTTTGTGAAACATTATTTTTTTAAGTTTTTTTCATATTTTGAGGTTTTTGGAAAAGCTTCTGCATCAACTCACCTACAAAACATCTTCCTTCCTGCCCTAGATTGGCTTTGCAAACTCGTTCAGCAGTGAACCGCGGAAAGCCCTTTTTTTTCTTTTTTTCTTTTTTTTTAATCAGATGCTCCAATCAATTAGTGTGGGAGCTGCGCTTGCTGGAAAGCAGGTCCAGTGTCCGTACGAACTCGGGCATAACTTCCGCATAAGCATATAGATCGAATGAGAAAGCACTGTGAATCTTCCTTACGTGCATTGACTACCCCAGATGAGACTGGGGGGTTCACTGCATAGGAGACAAAGAAAGCTTGGAAATGAAGTTGAAGACTGTATATCTAAATTCTAATACCTCTTCACCCGCCTGAGGGGCGCCATAATTACGAACCAAAAGGTCCAAAACTAGTATTACTCTTGCAGCCAACTATGACACCTTTCAATAAGGCAAATATTTGTCACTCAAAAGCCGTACCAACTGAGCGGAACCAAGCTCAACGATGATGATGGGAAAAGCTCAGGAAAGTCTGAAAGGGGGCGGAGACGGATTGCCAGTTCCGGTACTGTCCACTCGATGAAAAGCCAAACGATAATCCCTTGTGAATTTCTCTTGAATCCCTTCCTGATTCTCCTCAATATCTTCCCGCACCCCCTTCCACTTGATTTCTCCCGACTTTCCCCCCTGGGGACCCCCAAGCCATTCTCCACAGCACTGTTCAATGTGCTGCTGGATTTCTTTTTCTTTTTTTTTTCTTTTTTTTTTTTTGCTGCTGGATTTCTGACTTGGTTAATGGATGTTTGATTTTCTCTTTTACTTTTTCCAAGTGGGCACTGTTGTCCATTTGAAGTGTGAACCTGATGTTTTATTATAGAATCTGCAAATTCTGGGCCATCAATCCTGGCTTTCGCCATTTTTCATATGTGTAGCATCGACGCCACAGAGCCCCAAAGGATGGCCCTGCTTGCTACCTTATAGAAATTTAGAGTGCAGGTATCTATCTCAGGTGGATTCCATGTTTCACATAGGAGGGCTTTCCATTCCCACGGCCAAGGCTGGGAAGAAATGATTTGGCTCCACTTGAGAAACCTTGGACAATTGTGTGTCCTAGGGATTAGCAGGTGGAAAAGCGACTATCTCAGGTTTGTGATGAGGGCTCTGTTTTGAGCTCTTTGTGTTGTCATGACAAAAAACCAAATTAGTTATTGGATGTTGTTGACGAGGAGCAGTTCGCCTTCTTTGGGGGCATCTGAAAATGATAGTACCTGTTTGTGGGCTGAGAAACCTCTCAAATTCTCAAAAGACTCCTCAAGGGTCTAGAAAATCATGCACATATATTATGGGTGAGGGGGGTGGATGTACCTTTGGCTATTAGCCATACTTTCGGGTACGAACTTACAGTGACAGATGAAAGGAATGCCTGGGTTACAATGGAGCTCAAGGTAATGGAGATAATGACACTGAACGGAGTTCATTTACCTTGCATCCATTTTTTTTCCGAGTGAAAGTGACAGAAAGACATGTGCTCTCTCTCTCTCTCTCTCTCTCTCTCTCTCTCTCTCTCTCTCTCTCTCTCTCTCTGTGTGTGTGTGTGTGTGTGTCTGTCTGTCTGTCTCT